AGAGAGAGAGAGAGAGAGAGAGAGAGAGAGAGAGAGAGAGAGAGAGAGAGAGAGAGATGAGGATGATGATGTGAGGGCACGTACCTGGTCTTGGCGATGGCCTACAGGGTCGAAATCTTCATGTACTTCAGTTGTTGTGTCAACAAGTTGCATTGTCAATTCGTAAGCTGGGTAGTCGCTGTGTGATTGTAGTCTGGCCGCTGATCGCCAAGTAGGAGGGAGGGCTCTGAATACATACGTTGGAGTTGGCGAGAGTATGGTCTCAATGACATTTGGATTCGGTGCTTTGGTTCTTCGTTGGTGACTATCAGTGCATATCTTCTTTCTGGACAGCGTTCGACGTTCTGGCTTTCAATGTGATTTTGCATTCTGGAATAATTCTGTCATTTCGCTATCGCTCATTTTCCTTGGCAAAAGAAAACAGCAGCAAAAAAAAAAAAAAAAGGAAAAGAAAAAATCACATGGTCCCATGGATGAATTGCGCTTCGCACCTTGGGCAGCTAGCTACAATCTTTGCCTCAACACAACACATCCGACACAAGACACTAACCGCGAACGATGGGGGAGGGGCAGGAGGAGGCAAGGGTAGAAATCGAGGAAGGTTGGGGGCTCGGGGAGGCAAAAGGGGAAGGAGGGTAGAGGGGAGAAGGGCCCGTGAAAGAGGTAGAAGCTGGGGGAGGAGAATCAGCAGAGGGGCAGACAAGCGCGGGGGAGGGAGGGGAAGGGCAGCGAGAAAAGAGGAGCTGAAATGGGGGAGGGCAAAACACTGTCCAGAATCACTTGCATGCAACTCGTTCTGGCAAGCGGTTCCTTCCTTTTTTTGTTTTCCACAAACAGTGGATCCTTCTCACTCACTAGCACATCTGTGAAAAAAAGACAAAAAAAAGACCCAAAAAAAAAAAAAAAAAAAGGGAAAACTTGGACCAATGTTGACAATCCTTTGGACTGTGAACATGCGATGTGGAGAAGATCAGATGAGACTTCACTGAACCTGGGCTGAAAGTTGGCCCAAATACGTACTTACGAGATTGCTTTGGAGACTGCAACCAGCTGTGCAATGCCATTCAATTACCATCTTCACCCAAACAGAACAGCCGGTCAGAATCCCTGTACCTGGGCTGAAAGTTGCCCAAAATACAGCTATTGTGACCAAGTGTTATATTCCGGGGGGGGAGACGGTCAAGATGGTACCCATCCCATCCGTTTCACTGGACGGAAGCCACCAACCCTCCAATCCTTTTCGCCAGCCTAGCACACCCATGGCCTGCTTGATTTGGTTGTAGGCCCTCCCGGCCATGGATTTACCTACACTGAATTTTATTGCATCCGGCGTTGCAAAAAGAACTGGAAGCAGAAATAGGAAACAGTCAGACTGGGACTTTTCCGGGACGATACGTATCTGCCCTCAACTGTGGGAAGATTCAGTAGCGAAGTCCTAGTGTGACTACGAACGCCCTCATTCCGTAGAAGCACGCAGATGTATGTTTGCCTACCTATTTGTACATTTCTACGTCTATGTCTATATCCGTATCTGTATCCGTATCTATATTGAAATCTCATCAATATCCATATCTGTACCTGTACCTATTTTAGAGTATCTAAAGATAGGTACTTATCCATCCATTCTTCTTACACACAGCTAGGCGGGGGAGAACTTTCTCTTCCTCACCTCATTCCCACTGGAAGTGCCCCCTCCTCCTCCTCCTCCCCCTCCTCCTCCTCCAGCACGCCCCCCTGCTCCGACCCCTCTGTTACGCCACGAAGGGATGACCCTTTCTCCGGCGTCCTCCTTGCCCGTCCCCTTTCCGCTTACGCCACCGCTGCCAGTGTTGGCTGACGCTCCGCTCCTTGGAACCCCCCCCCCCCTCTCGTCCTGCCAGCTATGACCCCTATTGCTGTTGTTGTCCCTGCTCACCTCGGCACGATCAGCCCGTCCTGCTCCTCGCGCCGAATCTCGTCTCTCCCTCGGCATATCTTTCTTCGTTGTGGAAACGAGTCCCTCCTGCCGCCCGCCCATCGCAGAATCCACAACACGTCGTCGATTGACGCCCCACGCTTTCCGCGCAAACTCCGGCGGTTCCCTCATGGGTATCGGAGCCGGCGGGGCGACGACTTCCTTCGCGCTCTCCCCGTCTTTTCCTCTGCTTCCTGCTCCCCCCCCCCCCCCCCCCCCCCCCCCCCCCCCCCCCCCCACACCCCCCCCCCCCCCCCCCCCGACGGTCAACGCCTGCTCCGTTCTTGCCCTGGTGAACGGGACAGGCCCGTGCAGGCCCGTAATCATAGATCGCTGCCCGTGCTCTCTCTCTCTCTCTCTCTCTCTCTCTCTCTCTCTCTCTCTCTCTCTCTCTCTCTACGTGCGCGAAGGTGCTTCTGATAGCCAAGAATGTGGCGCAGCCAAGAAAGTGGAAAAATAAGAAAGCCACTCACCAAGGTCTCACTGCACTACCGTGGTCACCGAGACAAAAAAGAAAAGGGTTGTATTTGTCCACGGTCTAGTGGAATATTCATTCGCATTTTTCACATTTGCTGAGGAGTGGTGCAAGGGCCCAAGTAGGGGAAATGAATGAAACTCAACCTAGAACATGGAAAGGTACGTTGCTACTTCACTTTTACCTTTCTGCCAAGGCTCTGAGGCCCCCGGCCGTGGTCCAGAACTGAGCCTACTCAGCCTGGACCCGACCCCCTTGTGCAGGCAAAGTTGGTCTCGTTCACTCGAACATTACCCATATGCATTATAGACAAATACAAAGCATGGTATGCGTTGCATTCGTTAACAACGCATATGCCTTATGCTCGGGGGAAGATGGTAGTACATGCATGCTTTGCCGCTTGTCCTTTGGTCTGCTTGCTGCACTGTAGAGGTCATGTCAGGCCGGCCAGCCCTATGAGGGAGAGACGAGCACCGGAGTATAAAAATTGTACGGTCGGGGCTGGCCAGTTCTATATCGACTTCGGGCACAGGGGTGGGCCAATTGCACACCTTCAGACACGCCGCAGAACCACAGCTTCAGGACGTCGACACGAAGCAGACTTACTCAAGAGGGATACAAGGGGAGGGACGATTCTACTAAACTGCTCGATTGTTAATCATTGTATATTTCCATTCTGCATGCACACCAACAAATGATTTTATTTCTATTTTTGATTACTTAGTTGCTACAGACTTTGCTGACAACTAACAGACAGTTGCAGATAGAGAGGAGTGAATATTCTTGGCTGCATTGCGATCTGTTTCAGACTAGTCAAAAGTAGGGAATAGAATTGTTAGAAGGAAGCTTAGATTATCTGCTGTTACAGCTTGGCTACTTTCTGACAAAGCTGCATCACACTTTTTTTCCTTTTTTTCTTTTTTTTTCTGTTTTAAATCAGTTGGGTGCCATGCTGCGCTAGGTGACGGCGAGGACACGCATAGCTCACGAGTGGAGATGACAGCGGGGTTGAGCGACCAGAGGATTTTACCCCTCGGCATACTTGCGTAAGACCCCTGCAGCGAGCGTGTGCCTGCCCTAAGTGAAGGCGGGGCCCCGAATCTCAATGAGCCCTGAACTCGTCAAATTTCGCAAATCTTGGTGGGCGCCAGACGGTTGCCATGCGCCAGTTGGTTACATCCGCCTTGCTCGTGAGAATCTGAAATATTTGTGAGCCTTTCAGGCTCTTCCAGCAATGTGGTCGAAGCAGGGAGCACCGCATGTTTGTGCCTGGGTGGTTGGGATTGCCTAACCAATTCCGTCCCAGGCCACTGTCTGAACGGGCCTGGGCGCAGACACTTTGGCCGAAACTGAAGCTAATGGAAACTCGGTCTCATGGGGCAAGCCAGTGGTACCGAGCCCGCCACTTTCCATATAGGAAAAGGGCCTGGCTGCGTATGGGATATTTGGGCACTAGGCGGTGCATGTGGCAGCGCTGCTTGAGCGTGCGCTCAGGGGCTGTATGCTGTGCGCTCCCGCTAGGTGCCGGGCAGTGCGCGCGGGCGCTGGAAGAAGGCAGGGCGGTGCAAGAAGGCAGCGCCATAGCCAAGCCGTCCATAGCCGGGGTTGGCTTGGAAGACAGTCAGCCGGTGGTGGTGGTCTTCATGTAGGAAGAAGAGGACGTGGGTGGAAAGAGAGAGAGAGAGAGAGAGAGAGAGAGAGAGAGAGAGAGAGAGAGAGAGAGAGAGAGAGAGAGAGAGAGATGAGGATGATGATGTGAGGGCACG